CAATGGGAATTGAAGTGGGTCGGTACGTGATCAAATCTTCTGAGAAGGCCTTCGGCCTTCACAGGATTTGATCACGTGACCGACCACTTCAATTCCCATTGAAGTTTATAAACTTGTTATTCATTTCTTAAATAACACACGCAAAACCTTGTCACCATGCGGTAGAATACACAGTAGGAACTACATGCATTTTCGATAATGTAGGAACACCAAAATACAGTTTTGACTCAATTTAATTAAAAACTGTAACCCTGTTTAATAAACGTAAAAATACAACAAATGTGCATTTAAAATTAATTTGTCACTTTTTTTCTTCGCAAAGTTTGTTTGCGTTATTTAACTTTGTAACGTCATCTGACGTCACAAGCGGCTCTTGCGTCTATTAACCACGTCAGGTTTGAAGGGCGCTAAATTCACATTAAAGATTAACGAAATAAGAAATTATGAAGAAGGAAAATTAGAGAATATAAATATAAGTATTGAATTCATATTTTTGTCTGTCTTCGGTCCTATAACACACCTGGCCGTGCCGACAAATTTATCATACCGCGCTAACGCGCGGTATTCAATTTGTCGGCACGGCCAGGTGTGTTATAGGACCGAAGACAGACAAAAATATGAATTCAATGCTTAATAACACGGTATCATTTCCGAATTTGCTCGTCCATAATGTGCAGTGAAAAAGGCTCACAAAATGCCCTGATTCTTCTCCTTCTGCCAAGCGGGCAAAACATAAAGTAGGCCGCCATACTTAATGACCACTTAATGAAGCCCCATATCTTCATTAAAATTGAGGAATTTAATGAAGGTTTAATACACGGATTCGTTCATCAAAACATTGATACAACGGACTTTAATGACACATTAAAAAAAATTATGTAATTTAGGAAAATTTTTGCAATTAGCGAATGCCTCAAGAACAGCATCTTTATCAATTTTATAGATTATCAGAAATAGTATATGCTTTGTACATGTACGTTGTATGTTTATTCCATTATTACACGTGTTAAGATGTATGTTTATTTTATTATTACATGTGTTATGTCTATGAGATGTATGTCTCTCGACTTCAATAAAAAACTGAAACTGAAATATAATCAGTTTAATGAAGCTTTAATTATTCATTAAATGTTGATACAATCGGATCCAGCTGTATACTAGGGCCTAGTAATTTTAATATCGTGCCTTTTGTTATATTAAAACTCTAGAAAAATATAGTTGTCAAAACATCGTTTTATTCAATTTTAAAAAAAAGAAGAAAAAGATGTTTATTTCGCGATGAACTTTTAAACATGACGTCATTTTGGTAAGGCAGACTGGGGAATTTTTTAACAATGAAAAATGCGTTTTATTATTAAACGGAATATATATTTTACATCGAAATGCCTCATAAAATCGTACTTTCGCACAGGCATACACTGAATAGATCGTAACCAGTGGTAACCATTTTTTGAATATAGAGAAACTTCCAGGCGCGTAGCCAGCATTGAAATGAAGTGTACACAGAAAATGGTCGGGGGTCTGGGGGCGAAGCCCCCGGAAGCTCCTGGATTTTACGAAATTTTTCAGTCATTTTCCTTTAAAAGAAATCACGCTACATCTTTTTTCTCAAGCAAAAACTTAGCTAAGTTATACTTCAATGGATACTTCAGGAAGAGAAGGATAATATAATCAAATTAATTTACGAATATATTGGTATTGGAAAAAAGTTTCCAAGTGTGACAAGATCAAACAGAGAAGTAATTTAATAAGTAATCATTGGAGTTAAAGTATTTCAAGATATAAACGGGGTGTGGGTTTTTTGATAACCTTTATATATTCTGTTAGCTGAAACAATGTGAGAGCACTTAAATTCTATAAACTGGTAACATCAGTAAAATAAGATATTCATAGATGATCTATATTTTTATTTACTTTGTGCAGTGATTTGAATTTTGCCTTTTTTTTAAGGGACTCCAATCCTCAGCAAGGTTTGGTAACTCCGTAAAATCCGGAAAAAGTTTATTCGTATCATGAATTCCGGCATTTATGATTTTTGGAACTCTTCTTTCAAAAAAGAATAATAAACTAGAGCAAAGCTCGTTGCAAAGCAACGAGTAGGTCTTCCGTCCTGTTTGACCGGAAGTAGCTTTCATTTCTAACAAAAATGAGAAATAAGGCACAAAATTGGTTTGAATCCTCTAAATCTATGTTAATTAATGCAAAAATAATCAAATTTTTGGTACTTCCGGTTTAACCGGAAGTGACGACGACGGACAAAAGATTAATTTTTATGCTCCCAGAGTCATATTTTACCAAAAAAGTTGTCAAGAAAGGCAAAAATACGCATTTTCCGACTACTTCCGGTTTGGCCGGAAGTGACGACGCCGGACGTTTTTTGATTACCCCAATAGATTAAACTTGACATTTTGAACAACTTTGCTTCTCTGACGTATCACAAATTCTCAATACGTTTGGAGATAGAAGAAAAAAACTTTTGGCCCCTCTGGGCCCTTAATTTTAGGGGCCAGTCCCTTATCGTTGATATCCGTTGAAAGACCGTGACATTCTTAACAACTTTTGTTCTATATGTTTTGATAAAATATTTACAGGTAAAACGATGCTGTTGAAAAAGTGTTTAAATTTTTCAAATTCATGATAGACCATTTTTCGGACCATAGCGACCGCCGACGTACGGCGTTTCTGGAAAAAGCCATATACGAAAGGTACATCTGCAGGCATAGGTCTATCATGCCTGAAAGTTTCATGTTTCTATCTCAACTCATTTTTCAGAAAAACTCTGGACAACACAACCCTTTAAAATTCATAAAATCGGCAATATCTCAGACCGGAAGTGACGTCATCAAAAAAGAAAAAAAAACGCATAAGGTTCAAGTGATGATACATGAGTCCTGAAAGTTTCATGAAAATCCATCGAGCCGTTTTCGTGAAATCGCGTGCACAAAATCGGTAAGAAAAAAAACAATAATAAAAGTGAAAAAGGAACCTAAGAATAACAGAAAGGTCTTCCGCTGAAGACGGAAGACCTTAATAACTAGAGCCGAGCTCGTTGCAAAGCAACGAGTAGGTCTTCCGTCCTGTTTGACCGGAAGTAACTTTCATTTAAAAAAAAGAGTGATGAAGTCCCAAAATGGTTTAATCCTTCAAATCTACGTTAATTATTGCAAAATTAAGCCATTTTCGGCAACTTCCGGTTTGATCGGAAGTGACGACGACGGACGGGAAATTAAGATTTAAGCTTCCAGTGACATATAATATCCAAAAACCTGTCAAGAACAGCAAAAAATATGCAATTTATGACTACTTCCGGTTTGACCGGAAGTGACGTCGCCGGACGTATTTTGACGACGCCATTAGATAAAGCTTGACATTTTGAACAACTTTGCTTCTTTGACGTATTACAAATTCTCAATACTTTTTGAGATATAAAGGAAAAATGTTCTGCCCCTTTTGGCCCTTTATTATAGGGGCCAGCCCCTTATCGTTGATATCTTTCGAAAGATCGTGACATTCTTCACAACTTTTGCTCTATATGTCTTTACAAAATATTAACGTGTAAAAAGATATTGCCAAAAATGTGTGAAAAATATCTAAATTCCCGATATGTCTTTTTTCGAGCCATAGAGAGCGCCGACGTGCTGCACGTCCGGAGAAAAAAAAAGGTGTGTGTCACATAAGCACGTGTTACTCTATCATCACTGAAAATTTTACGTTTCTATCTAAAAGCACTTTTGAGAAAAATGCTGGACAATGTGACCCTCTGAAAATCACTAAATCGCGGAAATCTCGAAACCGGAAGTGACGTCATAAAAATGAAAAATTATATATCAGGTTTGATTGATGTTCCATCAGTCCTGAAAGTTTCATGAAAATCGATCGAGCCATTTCCGAGAAATCGCGTGCACAAAATCGGTAAGAAAAAAAACAATAATAAAAATAACTAGAGCAAAGCTCGTTGCAAAGCAACGAGTAGGTCTTCCGTCCGTCCTGTTCTGACCGGAAGTGACGTCAACAAAAGAAAGCAATGAGCTAAGTTGTCTCAATTGACTTAAAAAATTCAATTTTGCGTCAAAACCTTAAAAAATAAGCTATTTTTGGCTACTTCCGGTTTGACCGGAAGTGTTGTCGACGGACGGAAAATTAAGTTTTTATGCTTCCAGTGACATGTGCTACCCAAAAATATGTCAAGAACGGCAAAAATATGCATTTTTGTACTACTTCCGGTTTTACCGGAAGTGACGTCGCCGGATGAATTTTGACGATCCAGATAGATTAAGCTTAGCATTTTGAACAACTTTGCTTCTTTGACGTATTACAAATTCTCAATACTTTTTGAGATATAAAGGAAAAACGTTTGGCCCCTCTCGGCCCTTAATTATAGGGGCCAGCCCTTTTTTCGAGATATCGTTTGAAAGATCACGTAATTTTACACTTCTTTTGTTCTTTATGTCTTAACGAAATATTTGTATGTAAAAAGATATTGAAGAAAAAGTGTTAGAAATTTTAAAATTCTCGACATGCCCCTTTTCGGACCATAGCGAGCGTCGGCATGCAGCACTTCCGGTAAAAATGAAATACGTATGTCACATCTACATATATTGCTCTATCATTGCTGAAAAACTCAAGTTTCTATCCTAAGCCGTTTTTGAGAAAACTCGCGGACAAAGTGACCCTCTGAAAATCACTAAATCGCGAAAATCTCAAAACCGGAAGTGACGTCATCAAAACAAAAAATTATATATCAGGTTTGTTTGATGTTCTATCAGCCCTGAAAGTTTCATGAAAATCCATCGAGCCGTTTCCGAGAACTCGCGTGCACAAAATCGGTAAGAAAAAAAAACAATAATAATAATAAAAATAGTGGAAAAGAAACCTAAGAATAACAAGAAGGTCTTCCGCTGAAGACGGAAGACCTTAATAAAAATAGTGGAAAAGAAACCTAAGAATAACAAGAAGGTCTTCCGCTGAAGACGGAAGACCTTAAATATCGTAGCTTCATATAAACAAATGGAAATGGAGGGAAATGGTGAACGAGAAAGAAATAGAAAAGGTCGTTTCAAGAAAGCCTCAGCTACCACTACTAAAAACGTTAGTACGTGTACCGACGAGAACAATAATAATCCTGAGTTCAGTGATGTGAACAATGAAGATCCACCCGAACAAACAGAAGAAAACGATGAAATTGACGAGACATTCAATGTGTTTGATGGACGAAGAGTTGTTGAATTTTCTGTTCTAGTAGATCATTTGCAAAGAGGGTGCTATCTTTGCCATACATCTTTGGACCTTGTTGACTGTGAAAAGGAGAGACGTTATGGGCTTGCTAGCTTACTGTATGTAAGATGCAGGATATGCGACGAGGTGACGATCATTCCAACTGGTAAACGACACAATATAGGTCAGAATGGTCAAGGTCCTTTTGATATCAACACCAAACTCGCTGTTGGTGAGTATTTTTATAAAATATATAGCATATATTTATTTGGAATTTATCTGTAAAAGAATTTTCTAAGCTGGCCATAGCAGATCATATATTGGTAAATTTGTATTTGTAATAAACATCAGTATAAGTACCAGCACTCCTTATATAAAATAGAAAAAGAGAATTTCCCCTTTTGCTCTGTGGTAGAGCACCAGAAAATGTAAAGTATATGCTTACATATATGTACAACAATATAGTGTTAGTACTGTAGTAAAATAAGGCATTTTACTATAGATAAATATCGCCTACCTTCGCATAAGGTGACGACGGGCACCCAGGTTTACATGGTAGGTAAACACAGGTACATGCAACAATATAACACACAGGAAAACGTGGCGAAGGGTTTGACTGGTAATTCTCGACTGAGGTAGGAATCGTGCCGGCACGGGTGGATGGCTATGAGGTCAGGGTGAAAGGTCATAGTGGACTTATTTACATATGCAATTTCACCACATTCCTCCCCGTTTTATTTAATAAAGCTAAGGGCAATTACTGTAATTTATTCAGAGGAATGTAAACCAGAAATATATAATTATTATTTAATATGACATGGAAAACGTATGAACTAATTCATGTATCCCCATGAACTTGGCCGGAATTACTTCTAGCGCCTTAGTTCTGCAGGATAAACATGTATATATGTGGCAAGATGGAACATGGTTCAATGATTTGCGAATTAAATCCGCATGCATCTTCCACACTGGATCGAAAGATCATATTAATTTAGCCATACCTATTCCATGTTGTCTGTTATACATTTCCTATGTTTAACAATTTATAGCCTAAAGAATGTCTATTTACTTATGACCTAACACTGACCTACTTCCGTGAGAGTCCTGTAACTGAATAGTGTCATGGCATATGCATGATTTTAGTCGAGTGAGATTCAGTTGTACCAGTATATAACTTAATTATGTAATACAACTGATTTACCTAATTAAATTGTGCAGGAGTGCAGCGTATGTTAGAACTTTACAACAGATCAATTAACAAAACTGTTGTGATGTATACTGAAATTAGCATATTATGATTACCGGTATAAAATGTATGTCGTCACCTTAAATTACATTGATGCCTCTATCACTATCCTGACTTAAGCCTAACCTAAACTAAGTGTATTTTCTTATTCCCTATATCCTAAGAACTAAACTAACTGAAGAATATTTGCTGACTATTGATAGAAGAACCAATGAAATAATACTAATGAAAACATATTTACAAAACACATTCCGCATCAGTACCGTCACTGTCTAAAATTAGTAAGCCAGGTACGATATGGAAAATGTATGACATATAACTATATACAAAGCAATCCAGCCCAATACCGTCACTGAGAATGGTCAGCCGGGTATCTAACGGAAAGCATAAGGTTATTTACATAGAGCAATCCAGCCCAATACCGTCACTGAGAATAGTCAGCCGGGTATCTAACGGAAAGCATAAGTTGCATGATTACACCAGTCCTGGTAGGAGTATATGCTGGGCATCCTTGGGAACTGGGTCAAGGACATGCAACAGGATAGATCATTGCATAATTTTGACTTTATATACTGCCTGAATATGCTTTACCCAGATTTGACCTAATTAATATATACTAATTAAAGCCTAAGTATTACATAAAGTACTTTGTAACTAGAGAACAGTACTTGTAATCAACATTTGATCTGCTTTGCTAGCTTGAGCAATAATTACACCAAAATATTCACTATGCTCATTTATTTTCCAAAATACTAATGACTTTTCTTATTCTGCTAAATTCGTTTAACTTATTACTAAATCTCAAGTGCTATAGATATAAAGTACACTAAATGCTTACTAATGTAAGTTAGCTTTTAGTACTAGAATCATGATCGATAGTTAATACTGTGCATATCTACACCACATGTGCATTGAGCATTGCTATGTACTTTATACTGATACAGATTAACAAAAGCTTGGGCAAAGTATATGGGTCTTAAGTTATAATCAATTTATAATCAATATATTTTATTTATGTACTTATAATTGTGAACAACTGTCAAGCAATACTCAAATACATTGACTTGGGTGCAAATAAGTTACATTAAAGCTAATACTTATATGTTATGCATTTGAGTTAATGTTATATAAAACAACTACACTGCTATTTAAATCTACAAACTACAATCTACACTATTTCCCCTCCCTTTTATTTTTATAGGGAGGGGAAACAAAAGGGAGGGGAAATAGTGTAGATTGTAGTTTGTAGATTTAAATAGCAGTGTAGTTGTTTTATATAACATTAACTCAAATAAGTTACATTAAAGCTAATACTTAAATGTTATGCATTTGAGTTAATGTTATATAAAACAACTACACTGCTATTTAAATCTACAAACTACAATCTACACTTTTTCCCCTCCCTTTTATTTTTAAATGAAGGAAGTAGTAGTATTATGTAGTTTGTGCATATTTTTAGCTACAATGTACAGGTATACTAGTATATTAGTGAGTTGCCTATTGTAAACAAATCACCAAAGTACTAGGTGTATTGTACACAAGTCTATTAGTAATTCCACTAAGTAAGTAAGTTACTAAATATCTAAACTGATTATTACATAATAACTAAATACTGTAATTGAGTTAGTTAACGACCAACTATGACCAGTTGAAAGTTAATTACCAGTTCTAGTGTAAATCTTAGTTACTTAAATTATGAATAAATTATATCCAAATAAGGTCAGACTGCAGTAAAAACTAATATTATTAAAACTGCAATCTACTAAATATTAGGTACTAAATACTAAGTACTAGAACTATAAAGTGTTATTATAAGTCAGTAAGTACACACTGGGTAAAAGCATTTCAGGTTTATTTAGCAAATGATCTACATAATCATGGTGGGCCATGGCACAACCCAACATTTATTCTCTAGTGGCAGCCCAGATGGAATGCCCAGCCCAAGGTCTACAAAGCGAAATACACAAACAAGAGACTCATTGTAGTTGGTCAAAGGAAAGTCCTTGTTGGCCGCATTCCAAGTAGACCTGGTTGGGCCATCTGTGGTGTCACTTCCAGTGGTGTCATGATACACAGTCGTTGCTGGTACAGACATTATGGGATCAGCATTCAGCGCTTCACTAATCTTCTCATCATGAATTGGATCCAGTAGTGAAGAGGTTGCTGTTCCCTTTTGGTCTGTAACAAGCTCTTGGTAGGAGGGCTCCTTCAAATTGCTGGAAATCTGAGCATTTACAACTGACTTGTTGCTATGCTCAGGCAAAGGATCACTCCTAGATAGCTGTGTATCTGGTGTCAAGTCCTGTGCATCTAAAGTCAGGTCCGGTAGTTGTTGGCAGTTTATGGTGTTTTCAGCATCTGGAGTTATATGACAACCAGCAGTTGAATGCTCACTACTCGGTAGCCGTAACTCAGATGAACTGCCTTCAGAAACATCCTTGTCCTCTATGTCTGGTGACTTTGAAATTCCAGGAACATGGAGACCATCCTGTGACACCATGGTATTCCACTGAATACTAGCAGGTGATATATCACCACTCTGTATTAGTGGAAAACCTGGTGGACTTTTACAGGTAACTGTTGGCATCTGCTGCTGTTGTTGGTGTACTGTTGCAGTAAGTGTTGGCATCTGCTGCTGATGGTTTACTGCTGCAGGCAGGACAGATGCACAGCTGCTGGCATCTCCAGGTCTCAATGGTGCAGATAGTACATGGTCCTGGTTGTTGTCTGGAATTTCATTTGGAGACACAGCAGGACTCTGTACAGCTCCCCCAGTTCCTGTTAGGTTCAATGGTGGTGGCATTAGTGGCCCTCCATTAATGCATGGTTGTGGGTATGCCTGTTGTGGTACCATGTATCCAGGTGGAAACATTCCGGGATGCGGGCCATATGCATATGGTATGCTAGGGCTTGGCTGTGGTGGTCCAAGGAATGCTTGTAGGAATGGTCCACCATATCCAGGAAATGGTACTGGGTAGTTCCCAGGGACTTGTGTACAGGGATAAGGATACCCACATTGGCCTGGGTTCAGAGATGGCATGTATGGTCCACCATAGTATCCAGGAGGTGCTGTACATGGTGTCATAGCTGGGTTCATCTTGTTGTTTTCAGTAGTTCAAAGTTACGGAAATAAATCACGCCGTTTGATACTACTGAAATATTCAGTCAGTGAATGTGTATTACGTTATTTCCACGTTACGGTAAAGATCTCGAAACCGCCGGTGAAAATATTACTACACATTAACGTGACTGATTTACAACAATATCCGTGTAGTCACCGTGATTTGATTTAAACGTAACTTTAACACAATAAATAATTGTATCTTAAGCCGGTTTAATTCTTTGGTATAGTCCTGGTAATTTTACTTGACTGCGTCTATTTTTTTCTCTCTATCTTCTTCTGTCTATCATTAATTACTTTTTTACGATGTTTCTATTATTATTTCTTGTTGAATTAAACGTTACTTTAACACAATAAATTGTATCTTAAGCCGGTTTAATTCAACAGTAAAGTTTCTGATGTTTTAGTTTGACGTTTCTCCTTTCTTTCTATCTGCTTTTCTTTCTATCTTCTCTTAATCTTTGATAATTGCAAAAACGCTGTTTTCTTTATCTCTCGTTGATTGATTGATTGATAAAATACTGGTCTAAATTTGGGATGAATCCTTAAGCTAATTAAACTACTAGTATTTGCTTAAATCTGTAAATAAGTACGCGTGCTTAAATTACCGCCAGACTCTTACAACGCTAATGTAAACGCCCGATGACAGTTGACGGTAGTAAAAAGCATTGATGTTACGAAAAGTTGTAGAAAAGCTTATCAACTAATTGTATAATCAACTGATGATGTTATATGAACTAACTACATGTATATCAAATAGATTGACTATTATTCCACAGAGCTAAGATAACTGTTGCACTACAAAATCAGTCTAGTCTACTGTTAAAGCGAGAAGCACGTGCGCTTCGATCTATATATAGCTACAACAGGTAAACTGGTTTGCGTGAACTAGCTCTGTGAAACTACACAACAAAAATATACAAAAACACAATATCTCGATCTCTACTTTCCCCCAAAATATTTTTTAGGGAACTTAGAGAAGAAGAAAAAATATATATGAATATTCTAAATCCAAATTAAGTTCAGTACAAGTCGAGAAGAAAACGCTCCTCGAAAATTGTCAACACAAGTGACAATAACTTTTCATAAGAAAAAAAAAACTATTTGTCTCGTGCAAAATTATGAAATAGATTAACAATTTTGAATAAAGTTCAGTCGTTGCGGCAAGAGTGACTAAAATTCAATGAGTCGAGAAAAAAAAAAGGTAATTTGCACAAGACAATGAAAATGTTCAAAATTTTCGTACTAATCAGCTAATGTTTACAAAAACGCCTGTACGAAAATATAATACTAAATACTAATGAAACTATATAAAACTAAATTCTAATGAAAAATGAAATTACAAAAATAATTGGACCGTGATATCACCACGTGTTCAAATGCGACTCACGAGTGAAAAAATAACATGGCAAATTAGTCAAATTGTTTGAACTTTGCAAATAACGTTAATTATAACGCCTGTAAGCAACAGTTTCCTAAAATTCCAAAATGACTAAATGCAAAATATTTCACTCACGTGTTTTTACTCACGAGTGGAAACTCACACGTGAATTGTTGCAAGTTAAATACATGAAAATTCAATATGCCCCGCTCCGAATTACCGGCGACGCCAATGTAGTAAAATAAGGCATTTTACTATAGATAAATATCGCCTACCTTACCATAAAAGGTGGCGACGAACACCCGGGTTTACATGGTAGGTAAACACAGGTACATGCAACAATATAACACACAGGAAAACGTGGCGAAGGGTTTGACTGGTAATTCTCGACTGAGGTAGGAACCGTGCCGGCACGGGTGGATGGCTATGAGGTCAGGGTGAAAGGTCATAGTGGACTTATTTACATATGCAATTTCACCACAGTACATAAGAACAGTAAATACACAAAAATAGAGCAATAAGTAAATACTTGGCTTGTATACATGTATAATTTTTTTTTACAGCTTTAACCTATGCAGGCATTGGAGAATCTGTGGTTTCAAAGATTTTTTCGACGCTCAACATACCAATTCTTACTCCAAGAAATTTGAAGAAGAGAGAGCGCGAGACTGTCCCTGCACTAGAGACACTGGCAAGAAATTCCTGTGATGAAGCCTTACAACTAGAAGTGCATCAATCAAGGTTTATATCATTATATAATTCCATAGTTTTGTGCATTATTTCATTGCATCATCGCAAAACACAGATTTTGTGTTCATTCTATTTCACATATAGAAAAAAGAATGGACACAAAACATGTGGCTTGCGACAATATATTCATTCAGCTGTATGTATAATACCCAATACTCATTTGATAATTGAATACAAGTTATATATATAATATATAAATTCTATATAATTGGACTCATATCAAGTTTATAAAATGTGTAGGCAATTTATTATTCATAAAAGGGAGAAAACTATCCTGCAGCACTCTTATTTATGATCATAAATTATAAAATTTCATAAATTTCATGTCAAATGTTGACACGTGATATGAATATATTTTTTAGTGAAAGTGGACTGGTGCTTTCTTATGACGCTGGATGGCAAAAGCGAGGAAGTGGTAGAAACTACAACAGTCTGTCAGGTAATGATCTTGTATGTAAAAAAATTACTGAAAAATATTTACCTTTGAAAAAAGAAGGAAGTCTAATGTTGAGTGTGCATACTGAACTAAAAATATTCACTCTCTCAGTCACATATATATAAAATACATGGTTACTGTCTTGAAATATGAGCGATATTTAGGCAAGGGTAAGAAAACGTGATAGAGGGCAAGGCTTACGTTTTGACCCGAGCCCAATTATTGCTTATATTTCAAGACAGTTATCATGTATTTTGTTTATCCTGCAACAAAATTTTACACTTGAACATCAATAACAAGCTATTTTCTACATATTTAGGCACATCTCTGCAGTTGAAACTATGACGCCATGGCGTAAACATTACAAAATACATGACATAACAATGCTTTTAGAATGTCGGAATACATGCATGAGGCTTTATTAGGGCAGTGACAAAATAAAGCTTTTGTTTTTTAGGTTACCTTTATTAGGTCAATGCAGGGAGTAGTTGCAGGATGAAAGATTATATAATGATTTGTTTTACAAATGTTTTACATAATTTTAGGACATGCATTAATGATTGGCAGCAAAACTGGCAAAGTAGTTGGATACAGCGTCATGTCAAAAACATGCCGAACCTGTGATTCTAACAAAAGGAGAACCTGTGAAAAAGATCATGACTGCAGGTCAGTGCAGGAGAAATTGGTCTGGAAGTTCAAAGTCAATGGAACCAGCAATGGCAGCCAACATCATAAGAAATATTGAAAGTAAGGGACATAAAGTTAGAACTTTGGTTATGGATGATGATACCAGTACTATTTGCAAAATAAGATCAGAAGTAAATCCAGAGATAGAGAAGTGCAGTGATAAGAACCACACTTTCAAGAACTTTACAAACCATCTGTTTACACTACAGAAAGAAAAATACAAGAGAATCCTGAGTACCAAGGTTATAAACCATATAAAGAAATGTTTTTCATATGCTGTTTCATCCAACAGAGAAGATCCACAGTCACTTCGATCCAACTTGATTGCCATACCGCACCATTTATTCGGTGATCATTCTCAGTGTAATTCAACATGGTGTCGTTATTTACAGAACAGAGATACCCTATGGGAGATACCTCTCAGATAAAGAACTCCATCAGGAATTAGTGAAAATATTCACATTGTATGCAGAACAATCTGACAAACTTTCTACATTAGAGAGCACACAAAACAATGAAAACTTCAATCAAATTGTTGCAAGAAAAAATCCAAAGAACAACTTTTACTCTGGCTCAGAGAGTACCAGTGGCAGAGTTGCTGCAGCTACTTGTGAAAAAAATATAGGACCACATTATGTGACTCAGGTATACTTTCTATTTTAGAACTACCTCAAATAAATATACATGTATATTTACATCTGTTATGAGCACTTATCTTTTTATTTCTTTACTGTTACTTTATAGATAAATGATAGGTTGAGTTTGTCGCCTGGGTCATTCATAGTGAAGCATGCAGACCGGAAAATGCGGAAAAGGCAGAGCAATGCAGAGAAGTATTGTACCAAGGAATTCAAGAGAAGGAGAGTTGAACTGAAGAAATCTGCATCTACTGCTTCATCTTCATTGGAAACAAGAGAAGGGGTGACGTACAGAAGTGGTGTGCTTTCTACTTCCAGCAATATTCCAGATAGTGACATAGAAACCATACCACCACCTCCGGAACAGCTGCAACAAACTCCATTACCTCCTTGTCAATACAGCAGGGTTTACTTTGATCTGGAAACGACAGGCCTAGGTGAGTTGAGAATATCGCATTATATTTTTGTAAAAATTGGTCACATGATGGTATGATATCACACATATATATATATATGTAAACTCTATTTTTCAGGATTATCAGCTGGCATTATTCAACTGGCAGCAAGGTATGGGGAAACTGAGTTCAACCAGTATGTTATTCCAAAAACCAGCATCAATCCAATGGCCTCAAAGATCACGGGACTGACATATGATGGAACCTTGCTGTACAAGAATGGTGTTGCTTTACCAGCTGTTCCTATAGAGGTGTGCCTGGCATCATTCTTTGATTGGCTGAAGAATTCTGGTATGAACCATCCCGTGCTGTTTGCCCATAATGCCAGGAAGTTTGACAGTCTTATATTTGTTACATGTACATCATTACTGAACAGTGGGAAAGAGGAAGAAGGAAAAATCATTTGTGGGTTTTGCGACACCTTACCTATGCTGAAAGAACATGCATCAGGATCCCATCTGAATTTTTCCTTGGAGACTCTGGTGAAGGATATTCTTGGGTGCTCATTTAGTGCACATGATGCGGTTGAAGACTGTAGATATCTCCAGAAAGTTGTTGAGCATCATAGTATTGACTCATTTTATCTTCAGTACACTTTTACTATGAAGTACATTATTGATATCATAAAGCAGATGGAAACTTCAAAACAAAATCTACAAACACTCATGCCGTTAGTTCAGAATCACGTTATTTCAGAAAGCATGTGTAAAAAGATATCTTTTTCAGGACTAGCTTTGAAACACCTTGAACTGGCACATCAAAGAGGAGGTTTTGATGGGATACACAGCTTATTTACAGAGACTTTTCAGGGCAAGCCAAGAATAACCAAACACACATCTATTATTACTGCTGTTTCCAAGTTCATTGAAGAGAGATAACTCTTGATCCTGAAAACTGATGTCAGTTTTATTTTTGTCATTAGCTTTTATATTTGACTGGATGCAATGCTATTTATTTTTATTTTTATGATTCTTTTACCCCAATTGATACTTTTTTATGCAGGAAACAAGATAAAATGCACTATATCAAATACATTCTGCAGAAATAGAGACAATTCTCTTTGTTTTCTTTTATTTACTGTATATGAAATGATCAATTATCTCATAAGATCACCTGGATACACTGGTAAATAATTATCAATTCTTTATCATAATGACAAGTTCTAAAGAAAAGCTGAACAATATTGGAGAAAAATACATCTTCATTTTTTTTTAACCTGAGGGACGGAGTACCTTAATTGTTATTATTATTTTTTTTTGTTTATCGATATTTATTCATTACTTCAACGGATATTCTTGTAATAGTCGTCCAAGACCCTTGTTAATTTTTCTTTAAATCAATGTCACTTAGATCGCTTTCCTTCATCAAATACATGTATAATTTGTCCGGATAATCAGGATTACGCGGATTAACAGTTGAACATTTTGGTTCAACAATATTTTCTTACTCAAGAATTTTTAATTCATTTTATAAAAGACTGGATTATAACGATATTCTGAACAAAATTTGAATAGAAAAAATAAGACGTAAAATAATTTGAAAGACAGAGAGTGCCTCTTTTACTCCGAATAAATCTCTTTCTTTTTTATTTTTTCTTTCTTTCTTTCTTTTTTTTTTTCTTTTTTTCTTTTTTTTGAAAATGATGTGTTCGCACTTGCGTATAGGCAGCTACGCGCCTGACATCAGAAAATTTTTTTTCCTAAACTTAAAAAGTGCTGCTGCTTTACATGTATTTAAATCGAGAGCGTGATTTTATAAGTACTCAAAATATTACCTGGAAGGTAAAGTCGACATAATTTCAACTAGGATATGTACTGCATACATCACGTGATTGTCCATCCATGGGACAAAAGTTCAAACAGTACAAAGTGGGTTATACTATGCTATTTCGATCCATATTATATATAAGTATAAAAATTAAGTTCAGCGATAATAAAACAACTTAATAAAAATAAATTCAGTTTTAAAAAATTCCTGTTTTTGCATGTCTATTTTCCATTGATATCCAGGCACGTAGCATCGTTTTTGAAAATGAGGGGGGGGGGGCAACCTGAGAATTTTTTTTTCTACTTACCTAAAAAAAGTTGACAAGCAAAAAAAAAAAAAAAAAAATTACGAAAATTAAAAGTTGCCAAAACTCAAAAATCCTATTTACTTCCTAAAAATCCTTGATATCACTATCCTTTGGTTATAAAGTGTGTGTGTGTGTGGGGGAGGGGGGGGGGGGGGGCAACCATTCTTTCAATGAACATTTACTATAGTAAAGGTTTGGGGAAAAAAGTGGGGGGCCAGGCCCCCCCTGCCCCCCCCCCCGGTTGCTACGTCCCTGATATCTCAAAGACATCCCTATTTGGTTTACGTTAAATCAGGGACCTATATACTAATATAGGTCCCTGGTTAAATGTATTCCATGTAGACTATCACTCTCTACGAACGACAACTCTGCATAGGAGATTGGTAGACTATACTAATACGTCAAGTTCGATAACTCGTGAAACGTAAAAATGAAAACGAAAGTAGGTTTCCAAAAACCAAATGGGGTCTACGCTTTTTTTGAAAAGGACAAGATCGTTCTGGTTACCCATGGTATCAAAATAACTAACAGCTTCAATTCAATAGCGTTTATGACAGAACCGGTTGCAACAGTACATCTTGAAAACTGTTGATGGGTGTATTTCTGTAACCAGGTAAAATCCACCCGTAGCAATATATTCGATCATGAGCACTAAGGTTTTACAACCGAGAACTTGTGGCCAGACGACAACTGACTGCCAGATAAACATGATACTGAAAAGTTAAATAGAACATCATAGTATGGATGACATTGACTTTGATTCCCCCAATGTGGGGATCAGTGACACTCACATTGATCCATGGGACTTGATTCGCAAAGGACTTTCCGAGGAATTGGACGACGATCAGAGTCTTTTACAAGAAGTCTGCCAACGCGCAGTTCAGGACCTGGGGCCTGTATTTTCGCAAGTTCAGAACGGTGACGGTTTTTTCACTGCCCTTGTAAACAACTTGAGTGACGACAAAGGGTTACTTCTTGACTATTTAATAGCTTTAGTAGATATTGTAAATTTACATAGACGCCAGGGAACTGAACCATTCAAAGATGTTTTACTGCAATATAAAAACCAGTTAACAAAATACAAAGAAGACTGTGCCAAGATCTCCAAATCTAAGGATGAGGAATTCATAGGAAGAACCGAGGATCTAAAACATATAGAGGAAAATCTGAAAGGAGACAAATATCAAGGTTAGCAAATTAAAATATGATCATAACTGAAACAAAATGTCAATTTGTTTTCTGGATGAAGAGTATATCAAAGAATACCCTCCCCCTTTCCCAAATCTTACAGACATTCAATATTGTGATCTAGATAAATTAAGTGCATGTGATATGTTCGTTAATTTAATTGATTTTATACTATTTTAATTTTTAGGAGTGGCAATCTGTGGAATGGGTGGGATAGGAAAAACAAGTCTGGCCACTGAGGTCTGTTACAGACTGCAGCATGCAAGAGAGAAATGGCACGTCAAGACCATTGACATGAGGTAATTAGTCTTTTTTGGAAGACAGCATTTATTAAGAGAAATTGATTGTATATCAGTGCTTTTTATACGCCCGTCTTAAGACGGGACGTATTATGTTATAGGCCTAGGCTTCGTGTCCGTCCGTCTGTCCGTCTGTCTGTTAGCTTTTTCGTTTCCGGCTCATAACTTTAATACTACTAGGCCTAGGATTATCAAACTTTGTCATCTGATGCATCTTGGGTAGAAGGTGTGTCGCGCACAAAAAGTAGGTCGCTCTGACCTTTGATTTAGAAGTTATAGCCAAATATGGAAAAATCCTTTCCGGCCCATAACTGGAAAATCATAAGACCTACAATCATCAAACTTGGCCAGTTAATGCATCTTAGGTAGAAGGTGTGTCCCGACCTATTTCAAGGTCACTGTGACCTTTAATCTAAGTGAATTTTTAAAAAAAAATGTGTCATTTTACTATTCATTTACACATCCCAAAAAATGTAAGAGTATTGCACAGTCCTTATTAAAAAAGTGTTAAATTAAGAAAATACTTATTTTTTTTATGCATATACTTGACAGCAATCTATAACAAATATAATGTATGTTGGAGAAATCCTACCTCTCCCATGAGTGTAATTATCAAGCTGAAGCACTGGTCAAGAAGAATTTTGATAACAGAAAATCACATGTCAAATTAGAGAGAAATTAATGGGTTTTGAGTGCGAGGAGCTAACTGACTGAGCATTGGTGTTATCTATGTCCCTTGAGTATTGGGCAAATGGATAAGCCTGTTTGAGTAAAAATATCTCTTGTTGACTAGCTTAAGTTTTAAAATGAATTTGATGAAAAGTAATTAAAACTAATTTGATATTGCATAATAGACTAATCTGATATTATGTAATATTATTAATTTAAAAACAAATTTTATTTTATTGGATGGAATCAGCATGTCCATATGAATTACATATTAAAACCTGTCGGACATTAAAAAATCTCAACCAAAAAAAAAATCTTTTAGTATTTTATATGTTTTTAAAACAAATTTATAGTAGATAGTGCAGACCCATTCATCTCTTGGTAGTAATTAGTAGACAAGCATCCAGTTAAAGATTAATTAATGAGTTCAATGTAGGAAGGCTAGCTGTTTCAGTCGCTCTGATTAAGCCTTTGGGGATTAGACTGAAGAACTGCTGGTCAGTTTATAACATATGTCATTTGATGGCCAGCCTTTTCTTTTCAAAATTAATTTGGTATAGATTAAGTTGTTAAGACTAATTTGATGATGGGCATTAAATTGACAAGGTCTAACACAACCAGCACAGAAATCTATCAGTGATGTAATATTTATTGTAATTGATGCCTACATCACAGGGGATGGATAAATATTTTAAGGAATGGAAAAATCATCAAAATCTTAGAATCAAGGTTGATGTGATTTTCTTGCACCTAAACTGTTCAAGAAAATTGTAATTTTTTGACGGGCGTATCATGCTGTGGCGCGGCACTTTATTCCTCATAGGGACTTTTGATGGTTCATTCAAATTGTGTGTATCTCTTTTTTCAGAGAGAAGGAAGATTTGGTGGACTTACTGCGAGATCTAGTTGCAGCAGTGGGACAGGAATGTAACAGTGCAGAAGTACAAGATCTGTACTCAGAATTAATCACAGGACTGAGAGGATTGAAAGCCAGTAAAAAATCTTTAAAATACTTGTATATCTGAAATATTAAGAACTGAGAGATATCGGTACTTTAATGTCAGTACTGTAATCTTGCCACATCAATTATTATGGGTGCTGTTAGCTTATAAGGAAAGCATTTGTTTTGAAAGTAGGAGGTCCAGATCATTCAAATCCTTTTCAGATACCTATTTTCCCCCCAGGTACACTTGTTGCAAATACCTGAAACAGAGGGGTATAAAAAATACAATTTGTATTAGATAAGGGCTATGTTAATATCATATTGGAGCAGATGCTTTTGAACTCAGAAGTTCAGCTTGGAGAGCATTCAAATAATTATAAGTTTTCAGGGCTGAAAAATTCTAAATGCATCATTTAATAAACAATCATTATATGTTTACTTAGTGAAAAACATGGCTTGAAATGATTTCTTGTACGTAAATTAAGATAAAATAAAACCTACTTTGAAGTACTTTCCGCTAAATTAATGCATTAAAGAAAAAAAAATTCTTGCAAGATTTTTTTTTATAATTATTAAGTGATGCTATAGGTCTATACCTAGTCAAATCATATTTTTTTAAAAAAAAAATGGGAAAATGTTGAAAGTATATTAAAGCGTTTTATTCTTATTTTTAAATTTAAATTCAGGTTTTAAAATCTTTGATCATTAGAAATATAATTCCAGTAATTTTCCAAGCTTGGACATGGATACCTTTACTCCATTACTAGAATGACTTTATTTATTTTTTTTTTATCAAATTGAAATATACATTTTTCTAAATTCATTTTTTTTTTGTACTCCTTAGCATATTTAGGCACATGTCAATGTACAATACTAGTATTAGACACATTCATGAACATTTAATTGATTAATACCACGTCTTTAAATTCTAGGGACAATTTTCTTCATGGATAATTTGGATGATATGATGAAAAGCAATCAAAGAAAGACCCAGTTGCTAAACTTTTTGGAAAGATTTAGTTTGGATACAAAATCACTAGATACAAAGGTAGCCAGTGTTATTTCAGCATTTTTCTACCCATTTTGAATGGGAATCACAGCTGTTTCATATTAGATCTAGGGCAAAGGATACTACAAAAATTATAGAAAGGAGAGCAAAAAACAAAATGTGGATTTTTAAATTTTGATGAACAGATATTGCAGAATAAATATATAAGATTTGAAATGATTTTTATCAGATAAACTGAAGGGGTATTTGTTCTACATGTATAAAATGTTAAAATTATATAGCTCATATTACCGGGAAAATGCTTTTTTTAAAAATTATTTTTGATTAATCCTTGCATGGTTTATCTTTTTTTTTTTTTAAATATATTTTTATCAGTAAATTGATATTATTTTATGATTTATATGTTACAGTAATTCTAAATTTGATTGTAAATATTAATTTCCCAAGGTCTATTAAGGATTTCTATCCCTAATGGGACCAAATTCGCTACCCTTAAATATCCCTGAAGTAAATAATACTCTCATATTATATTAAGGCATTTTATAGTAGAAAAGGATTGACCGCGAGAAAGTTTAAAAAATGTCATTAATTAAGCAGTAGTTAATTAACAAAGATTGCATTAAAGTCTATGGAGAAAAGCGTTTTTTCACAATAAAAAAATTTTAAAAATGAATATCAACAAATCCTGCGGTGGAAAGATGCATTGAAACATTAAAAATAGAATGACCATTTAAAACAATTTTTTTACCAGCTAAATTTTTTTAAATTGATTTTTTTTATTAATTAAAAAAAGGGGAGATAACTCTTACCAAAATTCAAGGTCATAATTTAGGACACATCCCACTATACATACTAATAGTACTATATGGGAAGTATGTCTAAATAAACTGAATATTCAATGCCTACATATCTGTTATGTATTCAATTTCATTGAATTTGTTCCTATTAGGGATTGAATACCTTAAGGTTATTGTCATATGGGGTAGTTTTTAAAGTCATTTTACAAAGATAGCTTTGATACAGTTTTTTGAAGTCTTTGATTCAATGATTTCAATCCCAAGTATTTTAATTTGTTGTTCATACCCAAAGCTGTGTTATTTAGATTAAAGTTCCTGGTGTCAAGGCTGATCGTTGGGAAAAAAAAAATTCTAATAAGATGTGTTTATATGCTGACAGGTTCGAATATTGCTAACAGTGAGACAAAAATTAGTAACTGAGGAGAAACTGAACATGACATTTATCAGAAAGATATCTAGAAGTGCTGAAAGACTTGGTCAATTGTATGAGGTAGAACTACAAAGGCTAAATCAACATTATGGTGTTTTACTGTTTAAAGCTTGTTGTAGAAGACCATTTACGGTAAGTTAAGCTTTAGTTTAAACAGGTCTTTCTGTTAATGGTAAAGTTACTAAAAAGAAAAAAGATAATTAACCTTATAGCCAAAATGTAAGATCATTCAAATTGTACATATAAAAGAAAAAAAACTTTGATGAGGCAGTTTACTTCATTTAATTTTACTACATAGAGGGTATTCAATGGTTTGTAGTAAGGTGTGGAATTTATTTTATGAGTGTGACGAATTTTTTTTACAGGAAGTTGATATGATTCTTTCCCAAAGGTCATAAGAATAATTCTTCCACATGTTTCAGGCTTCCCCTGAAAATGAGGTCTGTCGAAAGATTGTAGATCTATGTGGAGGAAGTCCTTTGGCCATTAAATCAGTTGGGGCAGCAATCAGAAGTGGGAGGGTTAACCCTGAAATGCTGGCTAAAAAGCTCGAAAAGGATTTTCCTGGGCTGAAAATGGAAAGTAGATGTCTCACCCAAACATTTGAAACCTTAGATAAACAGAAACAAGATATTATGGTAAAGTTGCATGTGTTTGGAACAGCTAAGTTTGATTTGTCCTCTGCAGCTATTGTGTTAGGTGAGGACACCTTGAGTTATGAAGACACAATTATTGCCGAAACCAATGCCAATTTGATTTATCTGAAGAGCCGCCATTTTGTAGAGGTTGACGACTTGACTAAAATGGAGAATGAAGATATTGAAACTGGATCAAAGAATGTAAAATTTTCTCTACATCCACTAGTCCATGAATTTCTCACTCAAATTGCAAATGATGAAAACTTTCAAGAGGCAGTAAATGAGGCTAAATATTTGTTTATTGAGTATGTAGAGAAGAAAAACAGTGACATTTTTGAGAAATTTGAGAAAAATTGTGTCAAGGCATGGAAAGATTTGAAAGACTTCAAGGTTCATCTGAAAACATATTATGACTTGATCCAAAACACCACCCCTGATTTTCTTAAATTAAGGAAGAGTTCAAGGCCAATATTGGCTTGTAAAAGAATATCAGAAGTGGCAGATCTATTTCTTGAAGATTATGTTAAGTTTAGGCTGCTTGAAAAATTCATTGAGCAGTCAAAGTCTAGAGGGGATTTCTTGGAAACTGCATTATGGCAGGTACACCTTGGAAGAAAGTTTTTTGAAAGTGACAGAAATGAAATAGGTGAAAATATTCTAAACTGCATTTTAACAGAAACATTACCAAGTTTTCACTTCGACAATGGAAGTCTTAGTTCATTTGTTGAAGTAGCAGGTGCAACTTTTTATTTTGCTGGAAAGCTACGTCTCAAAGACAGAAAATATTCAGAGGCATTAATTTACTTTGAAAATGCAAAACAACTTTGGGCTAACAAACTAGAGAAGACCATGAGAAACAAATACAGGATTGATCTAGCATTGGTGTACAACTCTTTAGGGAAAGTGTATGCAAATCTATCGCCACCAAATCTAGACAAATCAAAATACAATCACTTGAAGGCATTTCATATTGCTGTAAAAAAGTGTACAAATTTCAACAATATAGATATCCCTTTGTACATTCACAACATTGGGAGATGTTTTTACAGAGAGGGTATTGAGCTAGAGAAAAGAAACAGAAAAGAACAAGCCAAACAGTGCTATAGAGATGCCGAGAATTATTACAAATATGCCATGAAACTGTTCAGACAGTTTAAAATGGAAAAGTTTGACAGTTTTGCAGAAGTTCAGCGATGTCTTGCTTTTGCAGAGATGAAGTTGGGAGAGATGGGATTAGCGGAGGATGACATTGTGAAAGCTTACGATTTGAGGAAGCTGGTTATGTCTCCTCCCCATGAAGCCATTACCACAACAGTGCACGATGTAGCCACCATAAGGATTGAAAGGGCCATTTATCTCTACTGGGAGTACTTTCAGAACAAAAGAGGAGACAAATGTAAGAATTTTCGGTTATTGTACATTTGTCTTTTTAGCTGACAATGAATCAAATGAAGTTGAGATGTTTGTTATCAGTTCTCTGACCCAGTAGAAGTTTCAGAAGCAAATCTATTCTTAGATTAGATAACTGTACGCCATTCCAAACCAAGCTTACATCGAGCAAGTTTTGGAGCAGGTTAATTTATAAAGTTTAACTCCACACCTGGCCAAAAAGTCTTGAAAGAGGTGCATTATTAAGTAAGCACCAGTCTTATTATACCCGCACTTTCGAAAGAAAGTTCGGGTATATTGTTGTTACTCATGTCCGTCCGTCCGTCCGTCCGTCTGTCACACTTTTCTTCCCTGAACTCCTCCTACATTTTTCACAGTAGCTTAATCATCCTTTGGGAGATGGTTGGGGGTGTCATGTAGATGTGCAGTAAGGTTTTGGAATTTTGATTTTGCCCCGGGGGATCAAATGGGGGTCGAAAAATGACGTTTTTTATACAAAAAGCCCCTTCTTCCCTGAACTCCTCCTACATTTTTCACAGTAGCTTAATCATCCTTTGGGAGATGGTTGGGGTGTCATGTAGATGTGCAGTAAGGTTTCGGAATTTTGATTTTGCCCCGGGGGATCAAATGGGGGTCGAAAAATGACGTTTTTTTTTTTTTATACAAAAAGCCCCTTCTTCCCTGAACTCCTTCTACATTTTACTCAGCAGCCTAATCATCTTTTGAGAGATGGTTGGTGGTGTCATGTAGATGTGCAGTAAGGTTTCGGAATTTTCATTTTGCCCCGGGGGATCAAATGGGGGTCGAAAAATGACGTTTTTTTATACAAAAAGCCCCTTCTTCCCTGAACTCCTTCTACATTTTACTCAGCAGCCTAATCATCTTTTGAGAGATGGTTGGTGGTGTCATGTAGATGTGCAGTAAGGTTTCGGAATTTTGATTTTGCCCCAGGGGATCAAATGGGGGTCGAAAAATGATGTTTTTTATACAAAAAGCCCCTTCTTCCCTGAACTCCTTCTACATTTTACTCAGCAGCCTAATCATCTTTTGAGAGATGGTTGGTGGTGTCATGTAGATGTGCAGTAAGGTTTCGGAATTTTGATTTTGCCCCAGGGGATCAAATGGGGGTCGAAAAATGATGTTTTTTATACAAAAAGCCCCTTCTTCCCTGAACTCCTTCTACATTTTACTCAGCAGCCTAATCATCTTTTGAGAGATGGTTGGTGGTGTCATGTAGATGTGCAGTAAGGTTTCGGAATTTTGATTTTGCCCCAGGGGATCAAATGGGGGTTGAAAAATGACGTTTTTTATACAAAAAGCCCCTTCTTCTCTGAACTCCTTCTATATTTTACTCAGCAGCCTAATCATCTTTTGAGAGATGGTTGGTGGTGTCATGTAGATGTGCAGTAAGGTTTTGGAATTTTGATTTTGCCCCGGGGGATCAAATGGGGGTCGAAAAATGACGTTTTTTTTTATACAAAAAGCCCCTTCTTCCCTGAACTCCTTCTACATTTTTCTCAGCAGCCTAATCATATTTTAAGAGATGGTTGGTGGTGTCATGTAGATGTGCAGTAAGTTTTCGGAATTTTCATTTTGACCGGGGGGTGGGGGGGATGGGGATCAAATCGAGGTAGAATTTTTATATATTTTTTTTTTTACATATATTTGACATGTTTAATCACCCTGCTTTCAAGAACTTCCCTAATATCTTATGCTGCAATAGCTTTAAACCATGATCATTTAGAAAATGATTGGTTTGTTTTGTGTATGTGTAAAATGGTTTCAAAATTTGAATTTTCATATGGATGGCAAAAAGGGGCTGGAATAATATGGCACCTCCCTAACCCTGGTGGTCATGATTTGTACAAACTTGAATCTACACCTCTTGAGAATATTTCCATATTAATCATGCTCTTGGTGTTCCTGAAAAGAAGAACTTTAAAGATGTGTTTCCTTTTATTCCTAAATAAAACTTTGATCCCTAATTGTTGCCTGACCCTAGCCTGAGGTGATGATTTGAAAAACTAGAAATATGTCTATAGGACATGAATGTCCCGCCAGATGTGTATTACTAATGGTACATTAAACAAGAGGCCCATGGGCCACATCGCTCACCTGAGTACTGAAGCTAAGAAAAAGTAGAAATTGGTTTATAATTGAAAAGTTAAAATCCAAAAGTAATCCCATGATCAATCATGGATTTGCTTTTCTTCAAAGAATTTTCCATATATTTCTATGTAAAACTTTGGTCGGCCATTTTGGCCCCGCCCTACCCCCTGGGGTCATGATTTGTACAAATTTTTGAATCTACACTACCTGAAGATGCTTCCATATAAATATGTTGAATTATGGATTTGTCATTCTTGAGAAGAAGATTTTTAAAGAATTTTCCCATAAATTTCTATGTAAAACTTTGGTCGGCCTTTTTGGCCCCGCCCTACCCCAAGGGTCATGATTTGAACAAACTTGAATCTTCACTACCTGAGGATGCTTCCATATAAATTTGATGAATTATGGCTTTGTCATTCTTGAGAAGAAGATTTTCAAAGAATTTTCCTATATATTTCTATGTAAAACTTTGATCAGCCATTTTGGCCCTGCCCTACCCCCGGGGGTCATGATTTGAACAAACTTGAATCTACACTATCTGAGGATGTTACTCCATAAGTTTCATCTTTCCTGGCACAGTGGTTCTTGAGAAGAAGATTTTTAAAGAATTTTCCAATATATTTCTATATAAAACTTTAGTCGGCCATTTTGGCCCTGCCCTACCCCCGGGGGTCATGATTTGAACACATTTGAATATTCACTACCTGAGGATGTTAACCCATAAGTTTCATCTTTCCTGGCATAGTGGTTCTTGAGAAGAAGATTTTTAAAACATGCCACCAAATTTTCATTAATTCCCAATTATCTCCCCTGGAATGAGGGCATGGCCCTTCATTTGAAAAAACTTGAATCCCCTTCACCCAAGGATGCTTTGTGGCAAGTTTGGTTGAAATGGCCCAGTGGTTCTTGAGAAGAAGTCGAAAATGTGAAAAGTTTACAGACAGCTAGACAGACAGACGGACGCCGGACAAAATCTGATCAGAAAAGCTCACTTGAGCCTTCAGCTCAGGTGAGCTAAAAACTAAAAACTAAAATTTGTATTTGTGTATAAAGTTTGATGAAAATATCTTAAACAGTTTTTTTTTCAGAATTGAAACTAAAATATAAATAAATTGGATATAGATAATAAATTCTCATCAAATTATGTATAAGTGCATGTTAAACATAAAAATGTCTTAAATTATTTCTTAAAAACTAAGCAAAATACATATTAAAGAGGAGGGAGGTCAAGGTCACAGGAATGTGCAAGATGAAGTTTTTGATGCAGCTGAATAGCTCTCACTAATACATATTAGCTTATTATGTTTGATAAAAATATCTTTAATGATTTAATAAAAGTGAGCTTAACACTTTGTTTTAAGAAAAGAGAAGTCAAAGGAAAGGTTGTGGTCAAAATGTTGTTCTAGCTGAAAAGCTTACATCAGTGTGAATTTACTATTATCAAATGAATTTTGATAAAAATATAATTAATGGTTTATTTGAAACTTAGATAAACACATATTTTAAAAAGTGAGGTCAAGGTCAAAAGAAAATTCAAGGTCAAAATAAGTTAATGCAATAATAGCTCTCATCAGTATGTATTAGCATATGAAGTTTGATTAATATATCTTGAACTGTTTATTCAAAACTGATCTAGTCTAAGACAGTGAGGTCAAGATCACAGGAAATGTCAAGGTAAAAAAGAGTGAAGCATTGTAAAGCTTTAATTGCTTACATCAGTATGTATCATCATGTGAAGTTTCATTACACAACTTGAATCATTATGGTTTCTCTAAAATAAAGCTAAACACTAATTTTAAGAAAAGTTAAGTAAAGGTCAAAGGAAAGTAAAGGTAAACAAGATGTGTTTGTGAAACACTATGCGCCCGGCGGAAACAAAGTTCAAAAAATCTGTTTTTAGCATATTGGTCACAGTCAAGGTCACAAGGTCACTGGCCGTGGTGTCATTTGAAAGAACTCAATCAGTGGAGTATGCATCCCAAATATGAAGTCCCTATCTACTATGGTTTAAAAGTTATGGCCAAAAGTGTAAAAAGCTATTTTTAGCATATAGGTCACAGTCAAAGTCATTGACCATGGTGTCATTTGAAAGAATTTAATCAGTGGAGTATGCATCCTAAATATGAAGTTCCTATCTCCTATGGTAAAAAAGTTATGGCAAAAAGTGTAAAAAGCTATTTTTAGCATCTAGGTCACGGTCAAGGTCACAAGGTCATTGACCATGGTGTCATCTGAAAGAACTTAATCAGTGGAGTATGCATCCCAAATATGAGGTTCAGGACTATCTCCTATGGTTCAAAAGTTATGGCAAAAAGTGTAAAAAGCTTTTTTTAGCATATAAGTCACAGTCAAGGTCACAAGATCATTGACCTTGTTGTCAACTGAAAGGGCTTTATTAGAGGAGTATGCATACTAAATATCAAGTCCCTATCTCCTATGGTTAAAAAGTTATGACAAACAGTGGAAAAAGCTATTTTTAGCATATAGGTCACAGTCAAGGTCACAAGGTCATTGACCTTGATGTCATTTGAAAGGACTTTAGTGGAGTATGCATACCAAATATGAAGTCTCTATCTCTTATTGTTCAAAAGTTATGGCCAAAGTTAAAGTTGACAACAGACAAACAGACAAACAGATAAACAGACAAACAGACAGGACAAAAACAATATATGCCCGGGATCTATCGATCCGGGCGCATAAAAAATATTGCCACAGTTGGATAGTTTACATCAGTATATGCATCAGCATATGAACTTTGATAAAATATCTAGAAAGTAATTTCTTTGAGCTCGATGGAAAGACAGATGGAAGGGTGGAGGACGGACATGACAAAAACTAATACATGTATTCCTAATCATGGCGTAGCATAAAAAACTTGAATATACATTATATGAGGATGTTTCCATATCAAGATTATACATGCAAATTCAAAGAATTGTGGTCCTTTGCTTTCTGTGTTTAAGTGAATGGGATGCCATAATTTATGGCAGATTGTGTATCAAATATGCATCCCTATCATATGTCACTTTATGAAAATTAGGTCAAAGGGGGGAAATCATCGCATGCTCGAAATATTTTGTTGCAGGTAAAGTACATGTCAAATATGAAAGACCCATCTCTTTTCAATCAAAAGTTATATATATATAAATATATAATATAATATTTTTGAAAAGTAGGTTAAACTTCTACGTCAAGATCAGAAAGTCAAAAGTCATGATATATTTAGAAAAGTCTTTTCACATGTAATATACATGCATAATTTAAATGCCATATCTTTTCTCTTTCAAAATGATTAATTTAAAATGTTATTTTTTGGAAAGTAGGTAAAATTTTGAGGTCAAGGTCTCACTTGGGTTAAAAAATCATAGTACATTTAGAAAGTTTTGTGGTAATGTACATGTGAAATATAAAAGCCCTATCTCATATTATTCAAAAGTTATGATCAAGGTTAAATTTATTGTGACAGATGAACATACTGTCAAAGATGGCCAGACTGACAGACAAATAAGATTTATTATTACCTAACTTACTATCTAAATTATAATTAGGCATTTTGAACTGTTTCACGGTTTACTTTATGTTTTTGCGTGATCATGAAACAGTGAACTGTTGACCGGTCCACTGAATGAACTGTTGACTGGTTAAAGCGTCATTGTGATATTCAAGCGTTTTGATGATCACGACATCACTATTTACCTGCTCTATAATGAATTAAATTTAAACAAAACACACAAACAATAAATTTATTAAGTATTACTTTAAAATAAAAATATTAATTTAGTCTTTATATTATGTATTCAGCTAATTGATAGACAAGTATGTGAATAAACAATTGTGAAAACTTTTTATTGATTGTTTGTGTGTTTTTATTCCAATTTAATTAATTATATAGTAGGTTAGGTAATAAAACACTTATTCAATGACTACTCGGTGAAACAGTCAAACTGTTGTCCCTCAGTAGTACGTGGGGGAGACCTGGGAAACTGTTGCCCTTGGCCTTCGGCCTTGGGCAACAGTTTCCCAGGTCTCCCCCACTACCTCGGGACAACAGTTTGACTGTTTACCTCGTAGTCATTAAATAAGTGTATAATGTTCCCTCCCTTTCCCCCAAAACGGGGGACAATAATGCCCTTGCTGTTCTTGAGAAGAAGATTTATGATGGAAAAAATCCCCTGCATATTTCTTAACGCAAATCAATATTGTGTTTTTATGTCATTTAATTGTTTGTTTGTTGTTAAACATCCCTCTCAGGAATTTTTCACTCAAATGGAGACACCCCCACTTGAAAAATAATGAGGACAAGTCGGATTTGAGGTCAACATTCATTTTAGGAGTTTTCAACCATTAAGACGTAAAGAGACAGGAACTCAATCCTTCCCTTCACCCCATCCCAGACCCCTGTTTATATTCATGACATGTATGCAAACTACTGCTTGTTTTACATTTTTAAAAAAATATGTTAATAGCCTATATACAAATACTTTAATGTGGTCCATCTCTTTGAATGATTTTCATTCCTAATTCTAGGAGGATAGGTTGATGAATGAAATGTCAAGCAATCTTATCATTGATGCACTTTTATTTCATTTAATGCAGTCATATTGTGAACATTTCCAGTTAGAATCATTAGGAGAGTGGGGATGACCTCCAGGGGGTTCAAAACCTTTATACCATTAAATTTACATAACATAATAACACAAAAAGCGCAAAATTATGTATTGTCAAATGGAAAAAGTTTCCTACTATTTAGGAGTCACATGATCATTTGCCATTACTGTTTACAGGGACTGGAAGTGTATCTTGAGATCCCCCCCCCCGGATTTGCAGGACTATAATATAAAAAAGACTTTGGATGCCCTCCACCCTAGAAAACAGACACCACCATAACTTCTTTTATTTGCTTCTCAGAAAATTCTGGTCTGGAAGTCCCCCCTCCCTCTCAGAAAAAAATTCTGTATTTTGTAACTGAATGTAACGTCGATAACGGGCGATAACTCTTTAGAATGTGAAATTCGTCTTATTGCAGCATCGGATGACCTTTGATCCTTTAAACTTTAACCTAACCAGTTGCATTTCAGACTATTTTACCCAAATCTATACCAAAACGTGTACTTACCGACTGCCATAGCTCCAACTTCATGAAATATAATCCAATTAAACACAAAATAATTCCAACTGACATACATGCAATGATGTGTACACAACACTAGGCCTAGTACTGCACGTGCAGTGCTATCTAAAAATGATAATGGTAAAACTAGTACTTAAGTTAGGTACGTGACGCAAGCCCAATGTGATGCAGGTCTTCAGATACATTTACAGTATAAGAACAAATTTAAAATTATTATTTACAAAAGATGGTACATCTTAACTTTGCCATCTAGGCCTATTTCCAAAAACAGGAAAATAGGGTGTGTTTGCGCGTGTGTGTGTTGATGGGAGAAGGGTGGGGGTTGACTAAATTGATTGGGTATAAATGGTATATGGCAGCTTTCAAGGTGTTTCTGCCTAATCAAGTATAAAAAAAAGTTTGTACATTTTGGAAAAAATCATCAAAAACGCTTTAAACTAATTTGAATAATATTTGTTGTTGATCTATATGAGAAAATAGATTTAAAAAGTTCCAATTATGGGCCAAAAATTTACCCCCCCCCCCCACCCTTGTTTCAAACCTAATTTACATCATTAATTGAATTCTGTTGTTTAATTTCAGACTGGTAATGAATTATGAATATGAAATACATGTACCTATAAGATCGAGGCCCATGGTGACGGGTCACATGTTCACTTGAGAATATTATGCTCAATTTGATGAATACATGGAGGCCCTATTATGTAAATTATTAAATTATATTGACTTTTTCTTTGGTAAAGCCTAATTTTAGAGGAGTGTGCATTTAGAGGCAAACACCTTAGTGCGGGTATTACTGTGTCATGACAGCATCTAGTTCATAATGCACTTATTGAGTTGATTATCCAGATATACACACCACCAACTATACTTGACATGCTGCATCTGACCTATATATTCTGTATGATTAAACATTAACAATTTGTACATTCATTTGATATAAAACTTTGTTTTACCTTAAGATAACATCTATGAAAGATATCTTGTATGAACACAGTTTTACAATTAAATAGCTAAAACAAATATAGCTAAAACCAATACATCTCTTACCATTGAAGATGCAGAATATGTTCGAAAAGTATACCGTCAATTTTGAAAAAAAATGAAATTTGTTTTCTTATTGCAATATTTAAATTAGAGAATAAAAGAGGAAAGAAAAAGTTTAATTGAGAATGATGTACTAGAATGGTATGCCAGTAGTCAGATATACCAGTATACTAGTATTTTTGAATTGCAGATGAGCCTATTAATAAGCTCTATGAGGCTATTGCTGATTATGAGCATGTGATGCATTTAACTAAACTTGGAGGTTTGCCTATGGATCATCCAGAATACCAACACATAAAGAACAACCACATCTGGACCCTGACACAGGTCAAAGAAACCAAGAAAATAACAAAAGCTGTCCAGTTCTACAAGGTCAGAATGTATTGATAAAGATCTAAATACAAAAGCGAATTTGTCCATTGTTTTCAGCAAATAATGAATATTTTGTTGATTGAGATAAGGTATGGGAACGGATCTTCTTAAGCAAATTGTTTTGATATTTAGTCATTTTTTGTATTCTAAAATCTTGGTTGCGTAAGATTGTTTTGAGTTGCATTTTAATCTTCTGGACACAGTACCAAAAAATTGTCAAAGTGAGGTTAGGAAAGATTTACTCCTAAATCTAGTTTAAGTAATACTTAATTGTATAAAAATACTTTAACTTCTTTTGTTGTACAGGACTTTGAGAGTGGCAAGTTTGAAGCCACTAGAAAAAAGAGGAGAAGCAAAAAAGAAACAACAAAATTTTTTCACACATATGATGAACTGCAAACCATGCTCAAAGCAGGGGCTTTTGTGGGAGCTGAAGTTACTGCAACTTCATCTTCAGATGATGATTCTTCTAATGATAGTGATGATGATCCTTCACAGCATCATCAGCTGCCTTTACCAAACAGAGGTGACGAAAAGACCCCAACTTTTAATTTAAGAAAAACAAGACTGAACTTCAACTACGTGTTTCGGGAATGTCCAAAGAAAGAACGAGAGCAGTATGGCGATTTGAGTGGTGATGATTATTTCATTGAGGAGGATTTTCGAGAAGTTGATTTTCTTGAGAGCTCAAATTATTTAGAGAAACTTAAGAAAGATGCAGAGGAGATGGATGTTGATTACAGTGACGATGAAGAAGCTGAAGGGCAAAGTTAGTGGATTTTAATTCATTAGCTCATGTAAAATTTTCGATCACCTACTAAAAAAACCCACCAGAGTTTAAATACTCATTTATCTAATACCCTCTTGAATCAATTTTAAAGAATTGTCATGTATGTCTTAAATATTTTCAGCAGTTGGGGAAGCAGAGTATGACAAAAACCTTTTAGAAAAATTTATCGAAGTTGAAAATAAAAAAAAAAACAATGTTTGTATTGTGGCTAATAAATTTTGTCGAAAATTATGGAAAAAGCACTAAAATTATGAAGAGAATTACTGTGCAGGCATAAAGACGAACAGAGGTATAATGTTAAGCAAATTCCATAAAGCTTCTTAAGGGTTTGTCAGGGTGAATATAGAATAAAGACTTTATTTAAAGATTTTATATCTAATGTATTTCAGTTAGGAATCTAGAAAGAAGGACTAGTGACTGTTCAATATCTTCGCAAAGCTCACTAGAGGAGGATGATATTGAGGCAAGAAGGAAGAGATTTGCTAGGAAAGGTTCAAGAGAAGGTTCTCTGCAAGACTTTCTGGAAGACAGACTCAGTGAATCTAAGTCTGTCACAAAGGGACGATTATCCTCCACCTCCTCCACTTCTATAGATATCAGCATGGATGAGGATTCCTCAAATGATTGGGAGAGAAATCCGGAACTGATGAGACTGAGGAGAAAAGTAGACGAATTCTTTGTAGCAAAAGAGAAGCAAGAACAAGACTCTATCCAGCAAAATGCGAAGCTGAGGAGGGCCAAGATGCAGAGACAACCTACGATCAACGAAGAGCCTTTGGGTGAGTGTCATCTTGCCTCTTTATACATTTTGACTCATTAGTTCCTAATGTTCTCTTCACTTCTCTCGTATATTGACAATTACTATCGCAAAACTTCACATTTTCCACATTATTTTTCTCCTTTTTCTGTTGTTCCTTTCCATGTTTTGTGTTGATTTTCTCATTTTTTTTCCCCTTTCTTCTTTTTAAAAAGTCAAGCTTCTGTGCGTTTCATGTATTTTTTCCATTAACTATCATCTCATTTTCCCCTTTTCGGTAATTTCAGTGTTTGTGAATTTTCCATTTGGGTTTCTTTTGATTCTTAAAAATCTTGCAAAATTTCATATTAAGTTTTCGGTACATGTAGTAATTGTTCATAGTTTTTCTTATTTATGAACTTCACCAGAGTAAACATTCCCTGAAGATTTTGAACGCCTTCCTTGATTGTGGTATCTGCGTTTGATGTTTATTCCTCTATATTCTGCTCCATTGGGATTGTTAAAGGATTTCTTGGAATTTGATAATTTGCATTGTGGATTTATGTGTTTCTGAGTTATGTTTAGTTTTTAAGATTAAAAAAAGATGTTTAACATGCCTTTTTGTACCAGATAGTTTTATGTATCGGTATTTGTATAATTCTGTTATGCAGAAATACGTCTTAACTGTCTCTTGCGTATTATATTTTAAAATAAGTGGCATTTATACTGTGATTCAAATGTGATTTTACAGAATCAATCCAGCCTTCAGAAGAAAAGAAAACTGCAAAGAAAAGAAGATGAAAATTTAAATCTTATGTTGGTTTGTAGCTCTACGATGTTGTGATTCTAGAGGAAAAGCATAAGGATTGTTCAAGCAGCGATATGTAATTGATGTCTAAACCCCATGTTTTAGAGTGCCTAGTTTAGATTTAGTTGATTTTTAGCTCACCTCAACGAAGTTGGGGGAGCTTATGTAATACCCTCGGCGTCGGCGTCCCAGGTTAAGTTTTTTGGAGCAGTTTTCTTTTTAAGTACTTCTATGTCCTTTATTGATTAGACATGCATGGAAGATGGTTCTAGTGTGTTTCATTGTACCAGTCAAAGTTTCAGATGCTGCAATTTCAGCAAAGGAATGACCAGGTTAATGTTTTTGGAGCAGGTTAACATTTTTGGTGCAGTTTTTGGTGTTGGTTTCATTTCCAAGTAACTATAAGCCCTATGTTGACCAAACTTGCATGGATGGTACATCTAAGGATGCATACAACCGGGCTTGCTTCGGATGCTGAATCTGACCTACATTTTCCGGTTGAGTGAACAGGTTAAAGTTTTTGGTGTAGGTTTCATTTCCAAGTAACTATAAGCCCTATGTTGACCAAACTTGCATGGATGATACATCTAAGGATGCATACAACCGGGCTTGCTTCGGATGCTGAATCTGACCTACATTTTACGGTTGAGTGAACAGGTTAAAGTTTTTGGTGTAGGTTTCATTTCCAAGTAACTATAAGCCCTATGTTGACCAAACTTGCATGGATGATACATCTAAGGATGCATACTACCAGGCTTGCTTCGGATCCTGAATCTGACCTACATAATCCGGTTGAGTGAACAGGTTAAAGTTTTTGGTGTAGGTTTCATTTCCAAGTAACTATAAGCCCTATGTTGACCAAACTTGCATGGATGATACATCTAAGGATGCATACAACCGGGCTTGCTTCGGATGCTGAATCTGACCTACATTTTTACGGTTGAGTGAACAGGTTAAAGTTTTTGGTGAAGGTTTCATTTCCAAGTAACTATAAGCCCTATGTTGACCAAACTTGCATGGATGGTACATCTAAGGATGCATAAAACCGGGCTTGCTTCGGATGCTGAATCTGACCTACATTTTACGGTTGAGTGAACAGGTTAAAGTTTTTGGTGCAGGTTTCATTTCCAAGTAACTATAAGCCCTATGTTGACCAAACTTGCATAGATGATATATCTAAGGATACTTACTACCAGGCTTGCTTCGGATGCTGAATCTGACCTACATTTTTGGGTTGAGTGAACAGGTTAAAGTTTTTGGTGCAGGTTTTAATTCCAAGAAACTATAAGCCCTATGTTGACCAAACTTGCATGGATGATACATCTAAGGATGCATACTACCAGGCTTGCTTCGGATCCTGAATCTGACCTACATAATCCGGTTGAGTGAACAAGTTAAAGTTTTTTGTGCAGGTTTCATTTCCAAGTAACTATGAGTTCTTTAATGACCAAACTTGCATGGATGATACATCTAAGGATGCATACTACCAGGCTTGCTTCGGATGCTGAATCTGACCTACTTTTTGTGGATGAGTGAAAATGTTAGTTTTTAATGCATGTTTCATTTCCAATTAACTATGAGCCCTATAATGAGCAAACTTGCATGGACGATACATCTTAGGATGCACACTAATGGACTTGCTTCGGATGCTGAATTCGACATACATTTTTCAGATAATAGACCAGGTAAAAGTTATGGGTGCAGGTCTATTACCAAAAAACTATAAGGCTTATATAACATTGTATAAACCAAACTTGCACAAATGTTGCACCAAGAGATGAAAACTCTCAAATTTGCTTCAGATGCTGGATTTTGATTACAGTTTCATGAAGAAGAACTAGTTTAAATTTTTTATGTAGGTCTATTTCAAAGTATCGGATAAAAATTGCTTAAATATTTTCATTTTTGGAATGTGCACTTTTTGTTGGTTAATTGTGTGACTTTGCCTTACTTAAAGACAACATTCGTTGAGGTGAGCTCTGTAATCTCTGATTACCTATGTTTCTATGTATGTTTTTAATGCCATACTCAAAAGAATTTGTTTAAAGATTTACACAACAGCATAAGAATATTAAATTCAATTCTTCTCTTGTTGAAACCGAATTGCTATTTTGTTGCAAATTGTGGACTATAACACCGCAATTATCCAACAACAAACTTTTTGCGGCAAAACCTAGCAATCTCTTTCAGCAGGCTGTTTTATGGTGTTTTACCATGTAGCATATCAGGAACATTCTTCAGTTTTGTTTGTGTAGTGATCTGTATGCATTTATATATTTGATTATGACTTGACCATAAGATCTACGCATTTCTTTAGTAGAAGTTTGTTTTCTTTCAAGGGAAAGAAAAAAAGAGAACATATTCCCTACAATTAAATGAGTGGATTACAGTTTGAGTCAGATTAGTTTTTATAGCATTACTTTATTTTAATGCCAGAATTTTAACTGCATATAGTCAAATAATGTTTCTAAAGCCATATATGTATTATTTAATTTTAGAGTTAAAATTAATATTTTAAAATACAAAATTTTGTTACGTGACAAAAGAATTGTTTGGAAGAATAACTGTTAGACATCTGGGCACTGTTTTAAATGATATTAAATTCAATTTGCATTTACTTGTATTTGATCTCAGCAAAGTTACATTTTTTATGCTTTTATGCTTCAATAAAACAAAGAAAAAGGGAAAATGTGCTTCTGTATAGCAATGCAATGAAATGATTTTTAATGTCAATTTTTATTTTATTAAAAAACATTTCATATATAAAATTAGAAATGAAATCTTACTACACTATTACATAGGTGACTCATCTCTAAGTCATGTGTGATTTTAGTTTTTACATTGTATACAAATGATTGTCTGTTGATTGATTCAAGGTCTTGTATCTCTGTAATATTTCAGAAATTATTTTATAATTATTTTTTTTTCTCGTGCTTTCTAAACTGTTTTCAATATTTTTTAAAACGATATTAACACAAAAATGTGATAGCGACGGTTTAAAAAATATTCAACAGCTGTCCAGTTAGAATGTAATAGAAACACCATCATCAGATATCTTAAACAAATGTCTGACCTGGAGACTATAAACTGGTAACAGACACTTTCTAAGATATTTTATGATTGAGAATAAAACAGATTGGACATATGTTTATAGACCTTTTCTGGAAAAAAAATAACGAGACATTCTGTTATTTTGCTGCACTGTTACGTATTCATAATCCGTTTGCTGGGATTATACATACCGATAATACACCGAATGTGAAACTGGCAAACATGATACATCGCTAAAATGTTATAATCAGTACAAATTGTTACAGATTTATACAAATTGTTTGAACAAGCATTTTTAAAACATTCAAATCTATTATTATTTTGTACATGGTTTATCTACCAAAGTAAAAATAAGGTAAATAGATGACTTTAAAGTTCTGAATCCATGAGAACAGCATCATTTCAGTCATTTGTAAAGTCGGTCATTTGTAAAATCGCTGAATCAGGCTGCATGTATAGTAACGCAGTCTCAGGTGCTCATGCATTCGGCCCTCTGAACTTAGAACACCAACGCAGGATGAAAGTTTACATTTTAGAGGTTATAGATTTTCTTTTCGATGATTTTATTTTAATTACCTTCAATAATAAGGATTTACTTAACCTGTAATGATTATTTCCCCGACAAAGATTTTACTACCAACATTTTATGATTTAAGATCTACCTTGGAAAATAACAATCTTATTTCCTTCTGTTGAATCGCAATTAAATGACTATGTACGAGGGATCATCAAAAAGTTCGTGGACTGAGGCTATAAAATTAGTACATGTACTATGTAGTCTGTGATTTTAAAATTTATATGGAACATAAAACAAAAAAAAAAAAATAATAATAAAGAAATGTTAAAAATTTTAGCTTGATACGTTCATTATTTGCCAAATTAGGATGATTTTACCCTATCTTTGGACTTTCAGTAGGACGTGACTTTCTCGGCGTTACGTAATGGAGAATACTAGTAGATTCTCATTGGTTACGAAATTAATAACATAGGAACTTAAAATTGTTGTTGATAACGATGAGACGACTTATGTCCCACCTCTGTGCCGCGAGAGAACTTTTAATTGGCTGTTCACTACATCAGTTGACATTCGGCCGCATTTCTACCATATGTATATTTCAACAGTGAAGGGAAGCTGTGTAAGTTTCAGAAGCTAATTAGGCAACGTCGAGAATGCCACGCCTTACTGAAAGTCCAAACTAAGCGTGTAATTCTTCTATTATATAAATATTGCATGTAGTTGAGTGTAACATTGAAAATTTTCACCCCAAGAAAACCATTGTCAACCGAGGCGCAGTCGAGGTTGACAATGGTTTTCGAGGGGTGAAAATTTTCAATGTTACACTCAACTACATGCAATATTTATTATATTATACTGAATGTTTTATACAAATACATATTACAGTGAACCGTGCGCGCATAAATTCCGCGCAGTCGCTATTTTTTGGAATACCACCCGTCGTCAAGCAATGTTGACTGTTGCTACGCAGGAAGGCGTGGCTTCATTATTCAGCTGGTAGTAGTGTTTTTTATCAAATGTTTCTCGACGAATCAGATTCAAGTAATTTACATGAAAGTATAAGATTATAAAATAAAAACGACATTATATTTATATGATCACCTGGCGCTGTCGCCGTTTAATTCCATGACGTCCGACAACGTCATTGTGTTTCCAAAGTCCACTTTTTCTACCTCATACACTTATTTTGATGAGTTTCATTGGAGCTGAGTAAGGACTTAAACCTGCCTTGTTTATATGACTTTACAATGCCATGAACAGCGGCTTTCAATGAATATAATATTACAAAAGGATTAATACATTTGGAGAGATCCTCGCTTTATTGTGCCAGCATATTTTGCTTTTTGGAGTTCAATATCTACAACACATGATCAACGTCATTATTTGACGTGATTGATTTTTTCACACCTTGACTACAAATCGAAATTAACTGTGTTTCCCTTTTCTCTCTGAATCTATTTTACATTAAAAGACAAGTACTCTGGATGCATACTATATTTCTCAGTAGCTAGTTTAAACGTTTCCTAAGTCTATATCAAATTTTTCAGAACTTTATTGAATGCTGGAAAAAACCCGTCCACCCTTTTGACGTCACATTCAAGGACTTATTTGTTTGGACACTCCATGTAAAATTTTCGATAAAATTTCATAGAACTTCCAGAATGAAGTAAAAATTTCATATTGTATGGTACAATTGTGTCCAAACACATACCTGAATTAACGGGATGTTTAGATGTCAAATGTTCGTATTTAAAGAGTTTTTTCTCAGTAACACTTAGGTCGCGAAAACGTCGTTTTCGAGTTTGCACCCCCTGGACATACCATCGCTTACAAAAACATTACTAATCTATTAAAAAATAAAACTTATGATCTTTAAATAGAAAAGATGATGCTAACTAGATATTTTAAAAGTCGTTGATGTACCTAAAACGGTTTTAATTTTATGGCGCTAGTCCACGAACTTTTTGATAACCTCTCGTATATGCATTTCAAATTATGAAAATTTGATACCAATTACACGTAATTTAATATATACATGTAACAAACTTAAACAATTCCAATAATTTTTTCCTGCAAAAGTCGCTGCATTGTACATGCGTGCATGTACATGTATAGGCAGTTTAGTGCAAAATTAGTACGGTACAAATCTGCACAAAATATGTTAATCCGTGGTAATGTGCCTATATTTATTCAAGATATGTGGAAGTTTGGGGATATTAATATCTGAATATATTTTACTTAAATCA